TCTGTATGATAAATCCAACAAAATATTTAAACTACTTTATGCATTAACTGCATTCCAGTCATCTTCCATATCAGGTAAGAGGTGAGAGCAATTACTGAGAGCTTAGCATAGATTTCACAAGCAATCCAAAAGTAAATTTCCCTTCACTGTGCTTTTATGCAGTGAGCTATTGAACACTGTAATCATTATCAGGGTTATCTTACTCTGATCTGCAACTTAAGGACTTGACTCCACAGGTATTGAAAGAAACAATTATTTACTAAGACTATTTAGCCAAATATACATCATCCACTTCTAGATTTCTTTTCAATTCAGAGCAAGGGCTGATCGGGTGGCTTAGAGAAATCGGCTTCATATTTCATACATTGAAAAGTAACTACTTGTGCATAAAATGGATCCATCCCTATCGCAGAGAAGATCAGAAGGAAAATAAATCCTTTGCTGCTAGAGAAGCAAGTCATTTTAAAGTTCAGTCACAAACCTATTCCAAAACAGAGTAAATTCTCAGACTTAATGCTGCATAGACTCTTAGAATATAATTTTGCCATCTGCAACAAAAAAAAACTTAGGAAGGGAGACAGTTTTCTTGCTGATAGATCATTTACATTTTATTGCATGATGCTTTTATATTGTTTCTTTTGCATTAGCATAGAAAATTATGCTTTAATTCAATATTAAGGATAAAGCAAAAAACGGCTCATTATGTTCTCTGGAGCATGTGATTCTCAAACAGTAGAAAATTAACTTGGCTATCTGCAGGTTTTGCATTCCATCAATACAAGTAACAAATTTAATTTAGTTGAAATTCATTTTTACCCAAGTGTACCAAAAACCTGCATGAATTGCACCACTAAGCAGTATTTTTAGCTAAATGGCCAATTGTTACAAAAACTAAAACCATTTCTACCTAAATGCTTTTTTTATGAGTCATATGCACATCACTGCCCTGAACTACAATGCAAAGAGGGAGCACCATACTGATTGCTTTTTAAACCACTAACTTTAGAAAATAGACAGCAATGTACTTTAATCAACAGGGCATCAAGCAATAGTCTTTTCCTTCCATCACACTTTTTTTAGGCTTCACAATAGTGTTTGTATAAATTATTATTTAGTGTTTAACCCTAATATTTGGTCCCAAATGTAAATTAATGCTCAAACCTCCTCTACAAATCAAAACAGTGACTATAATTCACTATCATTCACTTGGTTCGGCCATAAGGGTAACATTAAAGGCCTGTTTATTCAATTGACCTCCTAACCAAAGCTCAACTCTGGAACCCAGAAGACAAGCTGTATTTGAAATACTCAAAGGAACAGCATCGTTCGCATTATCTTTTCAAGCACATTCAAGACTTCAGCTCTCTGCACTTCTAACACAGAAAGAAAGAAGTTTGGTGGAACCAATGAACTTTTTTCAAATGTACTAATAAGCCTAATAAATTGTTATCCAATCTAAGGAGAATATGTTAGCTTATCAAGGACAAATCCTGTCTAAATGCTATATCTAAAATATAGCCAACTCCTCCAACCCAGATAAAAGCTATAACATTTCCCTATAATACTACAGTAGTTTTACAGAGTTGCTTTTCCCCAACACACTCCAAAATTTCAGGAGACACAGGAATAACAAGGGACATCATTTCTTTTGCATTGAAAAAATGTAATACATGAGTGGAATTTATTTTCTTATTACAATGTTATTTAAAATACAAAAACAATTATGTGCCATATTATTCTCCAGACAAAGAAATGTATACAATGTACAGTATTTATGTTGGCTAACTATGCGCCCCCCTCCCACTAAAAAAACGACCATCTCATCCATTTAAACTATTCGCAAGAACCAACTTAACCTAAAGTGCTACTAGCCCATCTTTCTATTAAATTTGCACCTGAAAAAACAAATTCATGTTAATATTTACTAATATAGTGAATAAATATACATCCTATATAGGTTGATAAAGTACATATGGGAATAATATTAATGCACCAGGCTTCTGATAACATCAGCAAGATTCTAAGCCTGGTTGACTTAATTAATAAGCAAAAATCTGAAATAATGCTATTAGCACTTGTCACTGACAACTCGACACTGAAAAGGCTTTCGATGGCAATATACTTTTGCTACATTGGCTAGGCTTGGAATCTCAGATGCCTTCACGCAGACCTTGCAAATCCTACATTGTAATCCTGGTGCTTACTTGAAACTTCCTAGCTCCCTTCCTCAGCCAGTCTACATTCACAGTGGCTGCGGACAGCGCTGGTCATTAACTATCCCAATATTATATGGCCTTAAGTGAGTTCTCAGGAACTTAAAGTAGACTTGTTTGCAGATGATACTGTATGTTTCTCCCCATCCTTTCAGTCAGCATTTAGCAAAATCAGGAAAACTACTCTATCATCCCAATATATCCCAATATAAAAAAAATGTGCTGCAGCACTTAATTCTAAATGTATCTGCATTTGCAGTTTTCTCTTGCAGTACCCCTGCAAACTTGATCCTGCTAGTGAAGTCACCTAATGCAGCTTCCTGTGATGGGTTGACAAAAATTATGCACTACTTCTCCTGAATTCAGAGCAGTGTAAGCTCTCATGTAGGCTGTGCCTCCTTGTATTACCGAAGGATAAGAAGATGATGCAGGAGGTGTGGCTATCTGCACTGATTCATAATCCTGTAGTTTGCCATTCAGAACCTGGCCACACCTAGTCCTGCTGAAACCCTCCCACTGTGGGCTGCAGTTTCTGGGAGGGAGCGCATGTGAGCCACAAATGGAAGAGGATTTGGCTCACGCAAGGGGGGGGGGAAGTTTTTTTTGCTTACTTTATGAGGTTCGTGCATCATGTATTAACTAGATCTGTGATTTTTTTAAACTGTCACACAGGATCCTTTAGATATACTTTAAATGTGACCTACGCAAATGGAATGCACAATCCTTTTCTGGCATTAGTATACTTTATTCCATAAATACATTACTACAACCATGTATTCTTTACTACGTTAGTACTAAAGCACTGCTTTATTGGTATCTCTATCCTGTTCCAACTGCTTGATATGGTTTATCTCCAACTTGCAATCCCCACCTTCCTGTGGATTTGTAGGTATCTACAAAAAAGTAGGCATCTAAAGGCTTGAGGTTTCTTTTCTTTTTTGAGTACTATAAAGCTGCAAATATTGTTCAACCCTGGGTTACTTGATCACTAAGCAGGACTTTGTTTAAAAGTATACCCCATTTTCTAATGAGGCTTGTTGATATATCCAAATATAAAATTTCTTCCATAACACAGGAAAAATGGTAATTCTTCAAAAAGATTTGCTTCAATATATACCATCTTTGAAAGAGGAATTTGTGTATTAATTTATTCACTAACAACTAGCAACAGTCTTAAACTGCTTTCAGCAAGGGGAGCCATCAACTTGTCACTCCATCATCTACACACAACATATATTGTCCCAGAAAAAAAAATCACACATTTTTCCCTTCTTTTATAGGTTGCTCAAATGTTGGCTATCATCAGTACTTGGCGGCCAGTTATCTCCTCTTACTGGACCAAAATCATTTTTACCCACAATTTTCAACAATACTTTGTGCAGGCTCATAACGGTCCCTTGCATAGGAAGTATCAGAAGCCACTAATGTAAATTAAGTTAGAATAAAGTAATTGCTGCCAAAATACAGGGTTTAACAGGCTTATTATTTTCTACTTATTCTCACTTGTTTTTTACTTTATGTGGCAACAATGAGGTTCCCTTCTCACCTCCAACATGCTTTAGTAACTACTTTCTCATGAAGGAATTAATTGATACTAAATGATATAACAGCCCTTTACATATGTGGTTCAATGCATTTTTCTACTCCTCCATTGCCATAGCTTGGTAACTTTCCTTGACCTGGCACCTTCTCATCAGCTGTAATAGCCTATGGCTATTTTAAAAAAAACAATATCTTTGGTGTCTCTAAGGCTAAGGACTGTTACATTTACATTAAATATAAGACACAGGGGTGATTTACTATAGGCAAATATGCTGTTTACTTAGCAAGTGAATTTGCATTTTGCAAAATGTGGTGAAGATTTACTTTGCAAATAATACCAAATCATGTGCATGGGGAAAACAGTATTTTTGCTTGCACTTGATTGATTGCTGGAAGTCAGCAGAGCTTTATCTCATTCCCTAAGCTAGTGGGTAAATGTCCTAGCAAAGTGAAAATTCCTTTGCAAACTGAACAGCTTATTTGCCTTTAGTAAAATCAACCCCATAATGCTAGAGCGCAGATGAAAGCCAACAAAAATCTAAAGGAAGCTGTTTGCAAGAGCTTATTTTTAGATTTAGAAAGGCAAAGCTTTTGCATATGCATTGGAATGACCTGCACGACTTGGCAGATATTGAGATGATTTACTAAAGAAGTTTGCAACTTTCACTTAGCAATGCATGTGTTTACTTTGCAAAGGAGCATTCACCTTGAATACCCAATCATGTGCAGGCAAATAAACAAACAAACAAGCAGGATTTTGCCTTGCACATAACTGGACAATTAAAATGAATACAGTCTGACTTTATTCACTAAGCTAAGCAAACATTCAACTTGTAAGTGAACATGTTTTACTCCTTTAGTAATTCAGTTTTACTGGTTATTTTTTAAGAGATCCCAATCTGATAACACCAGGTAGATCATACACAAGAAATATATCAGCTTTCTGGGCTATTGCTGGTTGGAATCATGCATATTCAGTTGAGCAACAGCTGGAGAACCATAAGATATATAAAGCTGCAGTTTCACCATCTGCTTCGTAAATAAAAACCAACTAATATAAACAAATTTATTTTAAGATGTGTTATGTTTCGGCAATAACCCCGGGTTATTCTGTACTATTCTGTTCTTGGACAGTGACTCAGCACTCCTTTAAATTATGGCAGCTAATTCTATTACTGCCACATGCACACTGCTAATCTCTTGAACTAATGAACACAAAGGCTTTTGTTCAAGCTAAACACATACCTGTTATATAGAAGGATATCTGGCTTCCAAATTTGTCCATCTGGGAAACGAACATTTTTCACTCCAGGGTATTCAGACACATTCCATTGTAAATAGTAATCTGTCCAATACTGAAGTGTAAAAGGAGAAAAAATGGATTAAAAGCACTTTTCTGTTCCCACGTCCTAGGGAATTATACGACACCCAACAAAATGTACAGCTGTCATTCAAAACAGTATTACTCAACTGGCAGGGAATAAAATGACTGAAAGAACAGGACTTTACCTACCTTTAAAATACCATTAGAAAGCACACTATACGAGTCAGGGGCCAAGATCTAACGGCAGGAAAAAGCTTATAAATGGACAGAAAGCCAGCGTGCCTGCATGTAAGATTACATACTGCATGGAGCATGCAATTGCGGATCAGCTGATTGTTTAGAAAAAATATACAATAACTCTGATTGCATTGCTTTTCAAGGAGTGGAGCGGAAACTGTTATCTCTTTGTTCCAACATGTTTCATTGCGGTCACGGTCAGTTAAAAATTCCTGAATGCTCTCCTGCTTCCTTTCATAGATGATCAAAAATCATGTTTTCCCACAGCTTTTTAAAACAAAATAAAGGGCACAAAAACATCTTTGAAAAATATTTATATCATATAAAAATAAAGTGATGACGTTTGTGCTAATGTTTTTGCTCTATTAATGTATTATTGATTCTATGTGTAATTTGGCTCTACTTAACAGGGCACTCTGTACTAAGCAAACTGCCTATTGTAGTCCAGAGCACTGTTCATTCAAGAATAAAATAATATATATAATTACTGTAAATTTTATTTCAACAAACTGAACAATGTATTATGTGTGGAAATCCACAAAAACGTCATGTGATCCTTACCTACACAAACAAAGGTAGGCACATACCATTGGATTTTCTTAAGTGGTAATAATCAGGCAGGGAAAGAATGTGCACCCTTGGCTTGGATCAGTTATCAGCATAATAAACTTTAAATTGCCTAATTTCCTGGATGCTGGTCCACTGACCATATTGCCTTAATTCACATGATAAACACAAGCTTGTAAGACAAAGGATTCAAAAGAAGTGAGTGTCACAACAGGTTTAGACTGGAACAACATGAGAATGTTTCTGTTTTGTATATATTGATGTTTAAAAGGCTGTGTCTTTAGATTTTGCACAGTCCAACTTCTGGATGGTATAACTAAAAGGACAATAAAATACACATTTTTTCCCAGGCTTAAAGCTGAAATTCAGGCTAAACAAATATTGTATAATGTACAATAGCCTTGTGCATCTTTACATTAATCTTGGTGTTCTTTCTGTATTTATTTCAGCAAAGTGCAGTAATCAATCATGTGACCATTCCTGTAATAAAGACCGGGTACTGATGCTCTCTCTTCTTGTGCAAGGTGACTGGTCTTGTATCCACCCCCTTCTTTAGTTTTCTGCAGGCAGCCTGTAGTGGTCGGACTTGCTGGGCCCCTCCCACAGCTCAGCTCTCTTTACAGGCTATGTACAGCACAGCGATTATGTCATTACTACTTTTACAATCATAACATCTGGTGTTGCAAAGGAATTTGGTGTCTACAATATGGATTTATATCCTTTGTGAATATTGAATATCATAGCTAAATGAAAGTGTGTATGCCTGGAGTTCATCTTCAAAGGTTCAGACTATTGTTTATTCAAAAATAAATGTGATTTATTAGGTCACTGATGGCTGAGATTAATCTTCATCCTTTATTATTTACGTGGACACTTTTGTCATTTTTAACCTTCCAGGCATGCTATTTACAGTATTATTTCAAACTACATCTAATGCACAAATACATTAAGATATGGTATACAAAGACAGTGCCAATGCTGAATCACAGTTACATTCAATCCCAGGATGCTGATGAGGTCAGATACTTGTCCATATCCCTGAATAGGAATTTTACTACCTTGAGGTGGATGATAAAACATTTTGTGATTATAGCAATGCAAGTTTTATCAAAGAACAGGAAAATGAACCAATTTTTAGGGGGAGGTAAAACAGTTTATTATGGTTTTGGTAAGTAAACAAGAGAGTGCCAAAAGGTAAAAGAAGTTGGGCAACTTTGAGATGTTTTTTTCTGTTGCTCTACCTGATGTGAGTAACTATATTCTATTTTAAAAGACATTTTAGTTCTCTGCCACTGAAAAACATTATCCTTTTTAAGAGTTGAGCTGAGCCTAGCAGGATTACGTTCTGCTTTGGATGCTTCATCATTGCAATTAAAGTTTCTTCTACAGCTGTGTGCAACTGTCTGTACATTGTCCAGATTGCAGTTGACTGACCTGTCTGTGCCTCACCAAAAGCTTATACCCCCACAACCTTAGAGAAAGTCACGGAACTGCTTTCATAAGAAACCTTGTCCATTATGATTTTTTTGACATTATTGGGGGGAGCATACTTATGTATGTAAAGACATACTTAAAGTGACACTAAACTCAGGAGTTAAATCTTAAAAATGCATTCAAGTACCTTAACTATTAACAAAAATGTTTCTTATTTGTGTATCACTCGGCTGTAGATCCACAAATCATCTCTAAATTGGTGCTGACAGTGTCCTTCCTTCTGGAGGGTGGCTATGTTGTTCCCCATGGTCCCTGTGTGTTATAAAGTAGCCACCACTCCGTGATCACTTACATGATAGACTACAATCTCACATTTAGTTTACTAATTTATAGTCTAGGAGCGAGCTTGGAGCAGTGGCTACTTTACAATACACAGATTTAACTCCTGAGTTTAGTGCCATCTTAACCCTAATATGTCTTTATTAGATTGACTTAAAATATTTGGTGCAGACTGAGTATAAACAAATTATAAAGTGTAAATAATTGTCCATAGCACCCAATCCTTGGTCTTTTAGTAGTTTTTAATCTGACCTATATAGCGAGAAGCTAATTGGTTGTTGTGGCCAACACAACAGTGATCCCAGAGTCTTTAAAACTTGATGCTCAACATATTTTTCATTAATTAGTATGAAAGGTGAAAATATGTATGATTCAAAAATATTAAATAAACAAAATGCAATATTAAGTCAATTTAACTTTTCCTATCCACATACATACAATGAGGATAGACAACACATTCATGTGCAAGAATGGTTTAACATTCAAAGCAGAAGAAATATAATAGATAATTCAAAATCTACTTACAGATCTAAAATTCTTTATAGGTTTAGAAGTGACAAGAAATTATGCAGTAAATGACTGGCATTTAAGGTAATTCACATAATTCATGTCATTTGAGCATTTCCTTTTCTGTATTTCAATAAATTTGCAGCTTTAAAAAGAACAATTTCTCTGATTGCTGTATTTATTTCTGTAAACCTGTTTTAAAAAGCTTGCTAGGGGCGTCTAAATGAAAATCCTAAAATGAAAAATGGTTCATTGGCATGTGTTTGTCAGATTTTAGGCACTGGCTTATTATAAATGTATCAGCAATTTGTGCACCTGATTTGAGTAATCAGGAAAACGAAAAAGCAATACTAGCCTCCTGCAAGGAAGGTAAAATGGTGATGTTGGTCAAAGACTGTTTAATGAAAAGTGTTAATAAGACAAAAGTAGAATGGAATAGCCATACATATATGCTCACAATTTCATCCCAGTCAAGACAGAGTTGAATTGTTTAGCTAAAATGTGCTTTGATTTGAAACCCAGCAGCATGTTTATCTTTTCTTTACTCCCCTGCTGCTCCATTTGGCCACTGAAAGCAATGAAAGGAAGCCCTAAGTAAACTTTAGTTGCAGCTTGCACAGGACTCAGGACTGTCTCCCTTACCCTATGTGACAACACTGGGACAATCTTAAAGCACCAGCCTTGTCATGTAAGAGGATGGGGAGTGGGTCATATGTTCCTCTATGCCTGGCCATACAATTTTTATTTCTTGATCCCGGTGGCTGAACAGATTGGAGGGTAATAAAAGAAAATGTGCTTGGTGTAGACCAGGGAGGCGGTGGATGAAGCAAACCTGTTCTTCATTTCTTCATGAGCAAACACCAATGGGGTAGCCCCACTGCAAAAGTTAATCAGAATACATCCTGGAGTTCTTCTATCTAACCTTATCCCATATGTCATTACTTTAGTGACAGCTTCTGTCATTCTACCTATGGAGGAAAGTGGAGGGTTTATTTTTTATATAGAGGCTATCTGCTGCCAAAACTTATGTTGTTCTGAAGATGGTCTGGGAGTTCAATTAGCCTAGAACAAAGGAATGTCATTCATTTTTGATTTGTGGGACTAGGGATGTTCAGATATCAGTTCAGATACCAGTGCCGATACTTGGCATTTTCACGAGAACTACCAGGGTTGCAGCAGTTGCAGCAACACTGTCCTGAAATCATTAGTCTGTATTGTTTTAGAAAAACTGTCATATGACAATAAACAAAAACGTATCAGTACTTGTATCTGTGAGTACTTGGACAAGTATCAGTACTTGTACTTTAAAAAAATGGTATCCCTTATATACATATATTTAAAAAAAATAATACATCAAAACAGGGATGCACGAATCCCAGGAGCTCTGAAAGCTCCTAAAAAATGACAGCTGCCTCCTAACTTTAAAATTTTTCTCTAGTCTAGTCTTGGAGCTGGAAACGTATCTGTACTTGTACGGTACTTGGTATCTGAACATCCCTAATTGGGACATTTATGAAGTTATGACAAATTATTCAGAGGGCACTAGCTACCCATTGAGTGGCTGTAAATCCACCATAGCATTCATTACATTTATTACAAGTATGTAAATGGTGCAAACAATTTTGCAGCGCTATACATACTGTACATGCACATCAGTCCCTGCCATTAAAAAGTTTACAATCTAAGGTACCCATCCCACATGCATACATACATACATACATACATACATACATACATACATTCTGTAGTAGGGACAATTTGGACAGGAATCAATTAACCTTTCAGTATGTCCTTGGAGCCTGGGAGGAAACCCACACAGCACAGAGGGAACATGCAAACTCCATGTAGGTATTATCTTATCTGGTATTTAAACTGGGGACCCCAGTGCAATATAGTTATCAGTTTCAGGTTTTCGTGGTTCTTAAAAAATCCATTATTAGCACTTTCTAGCATGTCCCTGGTCCCTGCCACAAAGCCCTGAGTCAGGCCTCACTGCCTGGATTCACTAGTTTGTAAATTGTTTATTTTTATTCACAGTAACATTGACATGCGATTGTGGCACCATCACTTCATATACTGTATATAAAGCTAGCATTTGATTCAACTTGCAAAAAAACATGCAAAGCTGAAATATCAATGTTTTGGTGTAGTTGACCTTTCAATATTTGCAGTAACCCTAATGAAAACATTAAACAATGTTACTAGAGCTGTTACGAAAACTCAAACATTAAGTATATGAAGCATGCAAACATACTTACCATTTGCAGCCATATATTTGTTGTTAAAACTTGGTTTTTCTCATCCTGAAAGAGAAACACAATGTGTTTATTAGACAGAATTCATGTGTTTAAATTCTTTTATATTATTTTACTGGAAATGTTCCCAAGACACCTTTCTTCCTAAAAGTCCCTGTGAAGCCATAATTTAACTTTAGTCTTTTTATGTGCTTTGAAGTGCCTTTTCATATGGGAAGTGCTGCTTTTAACATTAACAGCATGTAACCACATGATATGAAAAGTAGATTAGGATTATCAGGCAAACCTACATAAAAGGTAACATCTGTTAAGCAATTGTATCCCGGTCCTGCCCCCTGCATCTGCAGACCATGAAAAGTGTTTCACTGAATGGAACAAACACGCATTATTACTATGTCTATTCATTTGTCATCAGTTAGTTTTGAATAATGTATACAAAGTAAAGTATAATAAAGAAGCACTTCTCTTCTGCTATGAAAAATTGAAATGAGAAAATATGATGGACATAAATCATGTAGACAAATTATAGTAGTATTAATACAGTCTTTAATATTTGATGAAAACATTTTTACTCTTCGACTTTAAATGAGTTACATGGCATATTAAGTATGACCAATGTCTTAGCTATTAGTGATAGAAAATCAGTTTATAGAGCATTTCTGGTGCTATCGAATGATAAAGTTGTGTGCAAGTACAGTATCTGTATCAGAGGACACCAGAAAACCAATGAGGGATAACATCAATTAGATGAGCAGGGATTTTGTAACTATGCTGATAAGGCATAGATATCATAGCTGTTCACCCCAGATGGGGTTTTTGTCAGAAGAAGAGATGCCTTTACTTGGAATGCTCACTTTTGTCAATGCCCCCCAACAGAAAAGCATAATGCAAGAGGGACCAAAAATTGTGCAGCATAAAAAATTATACACACATAATTATTATCAGTTTCATCCTTGCAAAACATACAATATGAATCGTTGGAATATTCGCTACATGTAATAAAGGTGGTTACCACAGTCTTGAAATTGCCATTAGCTGCACACATACTGATATTATATTGGTCTTTTTTTTTTTTTAAATCCTATAAAACATTTCCTACATCTTCTTGGATTAAAGAGACTCTGTTGATAAAAGCTCCAGTAAAAGAGCTCCCTACAAGGGAGGAAGAAAAACATACCTCTCTTGCTGCCTGCAATGCCATTCTAACACAGAGAAATTGTCCACTGAATTACTTTAAGAAATAACACTTCTGGGAGTCTCAAACTCCTGCTCTCCTACTGCGCTCACTGGTTTACAACAGGACATAGTAACGATGACTAGGTTGGTGGGAGCACTGCAGGGAAAAAGGAGGTTGATGTTTCCTGAAGTGCTGCTTTTTAAAGAGGCTTCAGGGGATGATTTATTTGCATTAGAGTAGCGTTCAGTGCCACAGGTTGTGTGAGAGAGAAATATTTTCTACTTTATTGGAACTTTATTTATAGAGAGTTGGTAAATGGATCTGTGTAAAACCAGTAAATCTGTGAATCATTCCCTGAATTCATTGTAGGTGGTCTTACCACATTATTCCTGTGCATGTGGAAATTAAGGCTTAAAAAACAACTACAGGAAACTACTGATTATTGATATGTCCAGTAATTCTTTTTAGAATAAACCCTTTAACCAGTGAAATAAAATCTTCTCTGAAAAACCACATTTGGAGACATTTAGCATGTATTAAAAGTTCCATCAAGTTACTAAATGAAGCGCTGTGGCAGAGACAGGTTTGTGTAAGAAGGAACCATTATGATGCCATCATAGTCACACCTAAGTGGATGTGTCCCCTTTAAGAGCCTTCCTTTCCTAATCACATGATCAGTGTGACGTGTGGGATGTCCTATGGAGTACTGGTTATGAGTCTTGGACATAAATCAATTTTTTTTACTTCCTAACATACTGAATAATGAGAAGTTGCACATTTCCCACCAAGTCGGTTATTTTGGCTGATTTGCCAGCTGCCAGCTTTCAAAGACTTCATTATTTTTAAAGGTTACACATTTTTGCTCCCTTATTTTTAATATCCTATAACTCCTGGAGTTTGTATGTAAGTCACACGGGGGATTTTTTAAGAGATCAATCATACTGCTAAAATTGCCTGCCGTTAAGCACTGAGATCTAGTGATCTGTGGCATGTTGTGGTGTAAGATACACAAGTAGTATGTAGTAGTGATTAACTACTATCTTCTAAGTACATTTTATTGCTTACTCCATAGAGAACACATTTTCCCACTTTGTAACAAGTCACAGGTGATATTAGTAGCATAACTGATCTCTAAAAATCCTTGTAACTTACACATAAAATGATCCCACTTTGACCTACATAAAGGAATGTGCAGACTTTTCATGAAAGGATAGGAAATGATGTTGCTGCCAGCTGATCTGATTTGTTCCTAATTCTACCTCTGTCTACATCCAAAGGTTGGTATAAAGTGTGCTCTTACATTACCTATTGCTATCATGAATGTGGTTTTACTTATTGTCACATTGTAATTGTAAGCTCTTGCATCTATCTCCGTTTCTAACTTTATTTCTTTTTTTGCTTGGGAAGAGCTTTAATTCTCAGAGTTTTATGCATTTCTTTAGGTTTTAATGTTACTGGCATCGAGCCAGGGCTGCAGAAAACATTGGTAGTGTATCAACTATTATTATTATTGCTATTTACTTGTATTCATTCATTACAATTACAATAAATGTTTATAGTTTATTAACTATATAGGAGGTCACATGAGCACTGTAAAGATACACACACACAAGATTAGAACTAGATACCATTCCCAAACAGAAATATGAAGGGTTAAATGTCTAATGCAAAAGTTCAACACAACAAATATCCTTTCCATTGCTTTGTACTTTCATCTAAAGGGCATCACATAGTGAGATGACAAACAACTTCTTCAAGATAATTTATCTGTTGATCCACCTCTGCAAAACAGCTATGTTGTGAGCACTGAAGAACTACTTATGAACACAAGCACTGCAGATTGAATATAGCATGTCCTCAACAAAGTAGGTGGAAGTAACATCAATTACTTCAGTGGTGTTTAAGAGACTCTTATGAGGTTCAGATTTGCTTTGCTTTGCTTTGGCTAATTGCAAGTAAAGCTTTACTTTGCCTTAGAATGATGAATAAGCTTTATGAACAGAAGCAGTTTCTGCTAGCACCATGGACAGCAACATACTGTTACATAGGGATTGTCAAATAAGTGGGTTGATATAAGTTGAAATAATAACTGGAATTGTTTTCCTTTTCAAAATACCTTTACTGCTGTGTGTTTCCTCTTTCTATTTCTTTTTTGTAGTCCTTACTTTTAGATTTTTAAATCACTTTTTTCTACTTTTGGCCCCTTTTACATGGGCAGCATCCATTTTGATTAGCAGGGGATCCATGCATGAATCCCCTGCTAATTGGAGCAGTATGCAATGGATGTCACCATTGTGACATCTGTGTCCATTCACTTTTTCCACCATCTTATGTTGGAGGAAAAAACTGAACTTACCAGATCATGTTAGGTCTATGGGGAGTCAGATGTAAGCAGACATGTGTCAGTTTACATTCGATTTCAGGTCATGAACAACCCTAGATGGAGTCAGGGGTAATAGGATGTATATGGATAAACGTCCATTTACAGCCAGCCACCCATAGAGTTACATTGGGCATATGATCAAACCAACCTGAAAAACTGACAAGCTGAACTGAACGGACTGCCAATGTGAAAGGGGCCTCTCCCTCATGTTTCTAATTGCACTTTTTTCTTCCTTTCAGTTTGTTAACTAAGGGGTGTTATTTGTTTACAGGTGTGATATAAGTAGTTGGTCCACTAACATTTAAGTTTGCTCAGAGATGTACTGTGAACTAAGTGGATTTGTATAAGTGAAGTTGAAAACACAGGAGTTTTAAACAAAAGAAGTCTTTAACGCTTTCACGCGGGCTGATCAGGAGAAGATCCGTGCGCAGATTATCTGCTGATTACAGCAGTACAGAGCAAATGTCACCACTGTTAGGTCGGTGTCTGTACAATTTTTTCCTCCACCCTGCGATGGAGGAAAAAACTGCAATTACCGGACCCCATGAGTGTCTAAGGGGTATCTGTTGTAAAGGGACATGTGTTTGTTTACATCAGATTACCCCCAATCCAGCATGATCCAGTCCAGCAAAATGGATCTCTGATCCATCTGTTTTTCAGAACCCAGGCGGTGGCGGGAGTAGCCAGGTGTAAACAGACACCCGTCCATTTACACACGGCTGCCCATAAACTTGCTTTGGGCATCTGTTCTGGTCCACCTGAAAAACTAACAGGCAGGCCCGACTGGAGTGGCCATGTGAAAGGGGCCTAATAAACATTTTAAACTCCTGTAAGAAACATAAACACTGTAACTGGAATGATGAGTGCTAGCAAGGTTAAAGAGTTTGCTCACTGCACAGTGTGCCATATGTATTCACAAATGGAGCAACAGCATCAGGATGACAAATGTGAGCCAGTTGCCCTTTTGAAAGATTATATTAGAGATCTAACAAATTGCAACACTGAGTAGACCTGACAACCTTGAGAGGAGTCTTCTGTTCACTGAGCAGGCAGTTAATGGGGTTGATGTGGAGGGTGGAGGGGTAAGTATGCCTGTCAAGACAAAATAGGAGAACTGAAACATGAAGAGCAGTATGATTCAATTGGTATTGCTGAACACTGACTTAATTCTTCACATGATTAAGCTGTTAATATTTTTAGCTGTGCTCTATTTCAAAGAAGCAGGGTAAAATGACAGCTTTGTGGTATCTATCTCTATGTGAGACGTGTTCTAAAAGTGAGAGTGAAAGGGGACCTTGTTGATAGAGAGGGTGATGTTGCTGAGCACAATGCATAAAATTGCATATGGGTTTACATACTATGAAGTTAATTACTGAAGTCTGTTATAGGCTCCCCAGTGTTAATAAGGAGGAAGAGACTCCTCCTTACAGACACTGAAACAGTGGTATTAATGGGTGATTTTAAGTACCCTAAAATTGATTGGTGTAA